CTTAGATAGAAACTCAGACCCTCTGTCGGTCATGATCTGTTTGATCTGTTTGTTGTTTTGGGTTTCTACCCTTTTATAAAACTCTTTGAATTTTTGGAAGGCTTCATCCTTTTTTCTTAAGGTGTAGACGAAGCCATATCGACTATGGTCATCCACTATGGTGAGGAAGTACCTTTTTTTATAATTTATGGATGGCCTTAGGGGCCCTACCAGGTCCATGTGTACTAAGTCGAATATTTGGTTGGCGGCGCGTAACGACTTCTTGGGTCTGGGTTTTACTTTCAGTTTTGAACACTTGCACACCGAGCACTCGAGGTAGTTTTCACAGTTTTTTATTATGGCACCCTCGGTACAATTAGCCATTTTTTGTATCACGGGAAAACTGGCGTGTCCAAGCTTGCGATGCAGCAGGTGGGCACAGTTGTCATGCATTGGTTTGCCTATTGAGGGTCTCTTTTGGGTGTGTTTGTTGTGTTGTGTTTCTGGTGTCGTGTTATCACCGTTATCTACCTCTCTCCCGCCTATCTGTTCACCTTCAGTCTTGCCTTGGTCAGTGTCTTCTGTGTTCTCTGAACTGGTGTTTATGCTGTGGGCGTAATCCTCATAGAAAGTTATGTAGGGTAACCCTTGGTTAATGGTTACTCTCCCTATGTCCTTCCCGTTCTTGCTAACCTTCACATTGCCTTTTGTGAATATCATCTCAACCCCTGATTCCCTGCTGAGCTTTACTGCGGCCAGGATGTTGTGGGGTATTTCCGGGACTAGTAGTACCCCCTCTATTTTCCCTACGCCTGGTAATGTGATTGTCCCTTTGCCTGTTACTCTGACCTGGTTTTGATCTGCAACTTTGATAGAAAAATCCTCTCTCTTGAATGATGAGAGTAGTTTCTGATTGTATGTGGTGTGGTTGGAGGCCCCCGAGTCTAGGAGCCAAGAGCTGGTGTCTTTGTCTTGGTGTGTGGTGTGTGTGTGCTCCCCTATCCCATATAGGGACCCTGTCCTGCTGTCGCGTGAGCTGTCCCTGTTTCCCTTCCTATCCCTGGGGATGGGTGAGTCTCTACGCCTATACCTTTCTTCGGATGTGTGCCTTTCTGTTTGTCTGTACTTATGCTCTGGCCTGCCTCTTTCCCTATAGTTCTTGGGGCAGTCCCTTTTGATGTGTCCCCTTGACCCGCAGATGTAGCACTCGGGTGTGTTGTGTTGCTTCTCTTGGAAGACTACTCTCTTCTCACTCTTGTGTTCTCTGGGAGGGCCGGGGCGGCTCCTCCTCAGATTATCTTCTGCGATAAGCCTGTTGGAAAGCCTCTCCACAGACAGCATCCCTAGGCTAACGGTGTCTAATTGTGTCAGGAAGTTATTCCATGAGTGGTCTAAAGAGTTGATTATCACACTCTTCATGATCTGGTCGGAAATAACTTCTCCCCTAAGGTGTAGCTCTGCCCTGGTACCACTTAAGGACACTAGGTGCTCACTCATGGGGGTCCCTGGCTTAAGTCTGGCGGAAAAGAAGTCCTTGGAAATTTGGGTGGTGGTGGACACACTCTCACTGTAAAACAATCCAAACATTTTCCCTATAATTTCGGATACTGTGAGGTTATGGCCAATACAGTGGTAAATTGTGGGGGAAATACTGGCAATTAAAAGGTAGAATGCCTTATGGTGCATGCAATCCAGCTCTAAAGTCCATGGTTTCTCAGGGGGGTCATTAATAAAATGAGACATGTTTTCTTTCAGAAACACCACCTGGAGCTGCTGTGACCACTCTAGGATATTGCCCCCATCCATCCTCAACTTGGGAAAGTCAACAGGTAAGTTCCCAGCACTAGTAGTAAAATTACTTACTGCTGGCTGCTGTCCATGGTTCCTTATGTCTCTATAGCAGCAGTAGGGCATGGGAACGCTTGCCGGTAGTTTAAAAGTCCCGTTTTGTAATTTTTTTCTTTTTTCTTCCTCTAGGCGGAAGAGCGCATGCGCGAAGTCCATTTCAGCTCCGCCGTCGCCGAGGAAGGACCTGTTCGTCGCGGCTCCGCTGTAGAGGCCTCTGCCGGTCGGGTAGGCCTCGGCCTCGGCCTTGGGGGTCCAGGTGTGCTCCGGAAGGCGTCGTTCAGCAGTTGCAGCTCCGGAATGAAGATCTCGGCGGTGCTGAGGATCCGGCGACGGTTGTAAGTAGCTGCCCCAATCCATGCGGTCCGGGGGGTGCGCGGCCTGGGCGATCGGGGGCGCGGTGTCCCTGGGGTGCGAAGGTGGGCTGGTGAATCATCGCGGGCGTCGGTGGCTCTCGGGTGGGTGCTCTGCTGCCCCTCTCCTCGCCTTCCCTTCCGTTTTGGCCTCTCCGGCTTTTCTTTGGTGATTTTGAGGCCTGGGCCGAAGGCGGCGGCGAGGGTCTTCATGGCCCTATCCACTTGTCGCTCGCTGGGGGTGTACCAGGGGTCGGAGTCGGATTCGGTTCCCTCTCCCTGGTCACTTTCATCATTGTTTATGGTCCGGCATTTTTCGCGCGCCGGCCATTTTGAATTCTGTATGTTGATTGGTTGGGGGTCGGCCATCTTGTCCGACCACGTGGACAAAGATGGCCGCCGTTTCAAATTTGGAGCGGGGCTTCGGGGCTCGGTGGCCGTTGGGGGTGCCCTTTTGGGCGATCCACTCACCGAGTCCAGCTCCTCGAGTTCGGAGTCCGAGCCCTCTTCGCTCCTTGCCACCTCGCAGTCGATTATGAAGCTCCGCAGGTCGGCAAGGAGGTTCTTGTCGCCGGCTCGTTCTTTCAGCAGCTGTAGGACGTCGAGTCGCAGCTTCTCTTCCTCTTGATCGTGGTGGTGGGCCCTTTTTCCTTTTTCGATCTCCCCCCTTTCCTCCGTCGCAGTGGCTTTGGGGGTGGTCGAGGTTCCTGCCTTCCCTGGCGAGTCCGATGGGTTGCTTTCCCGTTGCTTCGGAGGTGTCGCCATTGTGCAGGTAGGTATGGGTCCTTGTCTTGTGGCTTGGGATCTTTGGGCCTTACCAACCATCCTCTGCTACCATTTTGTTACAAGGAATGGTGGATCAGGCCCAATAAAGAGACTTGAGTCATCAGGTAAAATATATCTCCTTTTATTTGTAGGTTCATCACATCATCATTGGAATGCATCAGGAACTGAAACATGGAGTAGTGTGCCCACCTTTTATACCTGTGGGCGGGGATTCAGGTAAGGAGGGGTCTATGGGAGGAGCTGACCAGGTGGGAAGTCTGGGTTAACCCCTGCACTACTGCGCTATAGCTGATCCCTGGCAGGGGCAGAGCATTTATGCCTGACAGTCAGACTGTAGTCTTATACTGTTGTTACTTGCATCTAGTTACTATTTTCGAGTTGATTTAAAACTTTACCAAGCTTTTTATACAAATTTTTAAGTTGGATTTGTCAATTGAAAAATATTCTTTCTGTTCAGCTTTCCGAATAAGCTTTATGTATTGCTTGCATTTTGACTGTATTTTGATATAGTCCAAAGCACTTCAGTAAACTTTTCACAGCTGAAACTTTTTTGGCAGGTCATAAACAACTCCTCTCAGACAAGAAAAACTCCGTAGCAGACTAGCCTCAAAAAACATTGAGGTTTTCCAGCAAAAAAGGAGATTTTCATCAAAAATTACATCTACTGGGTTTTTTTTAAAAAAAAAGATTATAAATTACAACATTTTAGTAGTGAACGTTAGATGTAAATCAAATCAGATCTCTTTCACTATCCAAAGCTTACGTCTTCCATGTGGAAAAAGTGGAAGTGATTTATGGGAGCTATTAATATAATTTTTTAAAAAAACATTAAAAAACCTTTAAAATCCAGCAGAGAGTTAAACTAAATCAGCATTCCCCCATTAATTAACACTTGAAGGTAAAAAAAAAAATCCAGAACATGGTGTCTGGACACCATCAAAGCTGACATCAGCCAAAGCATAGAAAAACTCAAAGCAATGCAAGATCAAGACTTGATCCTCAGAATCAACAGTCAGACATGACTGAATAGACAACCCTATTGCTGTCTGATGTTGGTAAGTTTTTTTTTTTTTTGCATTCTACATACCTATTTCATATGTCTTTAGTATAGCTATTAGAAAATACATTTTAGAAAGTATGTACTGCGCTATATTTAAATTAGTGTTAATAAAAGCATTAAAATTTATGAACTACCTTGAAAGTTAATTTAGTTGAATAATGGCCGTATTTTCTTATTCAAATGATTTGTATTTTGCCTGTAGGGAGGAAATATTCTACTAAATTCAACTGTTACTAGAATATTTTCTACAAGACTACCTCCTTTAGAACCGAGAAAAGACTTCGCACAAAACCGTCTTGAGCGAAGTCTACACCAAGCGGAAAGAGTCACGCTTTTAAAGGCGCTTCTAGAAAATGCAGCAAGTTGGAGATCTGCTCAGTCATGGAGAAAAGCAACTGCAAGCGCCGCGCTTTATTGCTTCCAGGAGACAGACTGCAGCAAAAGACAAAGCAACGGCTCTATTTTCCCCCCTCCCGAAACCGTCGGTACAGATTTCAAACATCAACGGCTGCACGAAGCGCCGCCCCTTCTACCCAGGTGTCCTCTAACAAACGTCAGTTAGATAGATATAGTACATGGTACTGCGCGTATTGCAGCGTAAGACCTTTCCATAGCCATTCGTAATAAGTCGAAGGAGATCTTGTTTTCGTGCTTCCGCCTAGTGAGACAACAGGAACGAAGAGAGGTCCCTCATTCGCCGCCTTTCCGAAGGCTGCTCGCCACAGCCAGTAAAGTGATTTGCGCACGCGCGTACAAGCGAACACCCGCTAAGCCGCCGCGTTCGATCGCTTTGTAAATAGTCCTGCTTAACACCAGAGGTGCATTTTGGGATTTGTAGTCCGTAGTCTCGCTCCTTTAATGGAAGGCGAGACGGGAAAACTACTTTTCCCGAGAAGCCCCGGGGAAGATGAGGAAAGGCGGAGGAGAAAAACAGCACTGGGGAAGGTTGTTGCTATTGCAATTTGGAAACAACCGAAAAGTCTGCACCAGGTTGAAAAGAGTGCGGAGAGGAGCAAACGGAGTTGACCTGTCCGTAGCTTTAGCAAGGAAGGAGACGGAATTTTAATTACTTCGGGGAGGCAAGATTCTGGAGCCGCGGCTGCTTCAGGCGAAAGGCTGGGCTTTGCTTTTCACGGAGAGAAAGGAGGCGGGAGGGTGGCGTTTCTCGTTCTCCCCTCGGTGTCAGTCTTGGGAGCAAGAGGAACGGGCATTTTGTACCACTCTCATCTACAGGACTCGGGGCGTGTCCGACTTTGTCTTTCCCACATTGCAGCGTAGCCTTTGCCCCTTGGCATTGCGAGAGGACTGCAAGAGCCCGAAGGGGAGCGCAAGAGGCCGAGTGGCCTTCCTTCCATCCCCTCCTGACAAAAGGAGACGGAGGCGGTGTCTGGAAAGGGAGGGGGGGGGAGCGTCAATAGCGGGAACGCCGCCCAGTTGAGTTACTTTACTTCAGTGGGTTAGTCTTCCCGGAGCAAGCCCGCACCTTAAGCAGGCGGGCGATGAACGGCTTTGGCCCCGAGGAGGTGACCCGCGGCGGGGGAGAAGCCGCCGCCGTCCCGGCCGTTGTAGCTAACGCCACCGCCGCGGTGGAAGTCCTGCCGCCCCCGCCACCCCTTCCGCAGCCGACGGCCGGGCTGGGAGCGACTTCGTCAGCTGCTGCTGCGACAGCCGCAGGCTCAGCCGGTCCCCTTGGGACTGCAGGACCCGGTGCTGGGCAGTTATGCTGTTTACGGGAGGAGGGCGAGAGATGTAACCGAGCTGCGGGCAACGCTAGCTTCAGCAAGCGGATCCAGAAGAGCATCTCGCAGAAGAAGGTGAAGATCGAGCTGGACAAAAGTGTAAGTGCCTTAAAACTGCGGGGAGCTCCTGGCTTTGGTTGACTTGGGATTATCCCTTGACCCTTTTAAAAGCCGACATGGCCAGCCCCATATAACCTCAGCAGTGGTGGTTACGGGAAAGAAGACAAAAGCGAACCGACCACGGGGAATGAGTGGGAAAGATGCTTTTCCGGATAAGCCAAAGGTTCTGTGGTCTGGTTGTGTTGGTTTCTAGTTCCTTTCATTTTAGCATGGTTTTGGCTGGTTTTCTCTGTCTGGAAAAACAGCTTTATTGAATGAGGGAAATTTGCCCTTTTCTTACAGCCCATTCCAGCTTTTTGTGGCGACCTGTGTCTTGTCTATATTAGGAGTATGTATTAAACATTTATTTGCATGGAGAAGGCTTTAGACCTGGAAAAGACTTGACAGTGGCGATTTATCTGATTTTTCTCTTCTTCCTTGCAGATCTTTGAAGGGTTAGGTGTTACAGACCTTTTTGTTTCTGTTTTTCTTTGCTCTTGCTGTTTAGTTGGCTGTGGGCTGACGCTGCAAAAGTCGAGCAGCCTCAGCTACTGGCCTTTGTGAGCGGTTGGAAGTAGCTTCTCTTGTTGCTCTTTTATGCTTTTGTCTGTCTTCATCTCGTTCTTTCCCCCTTGAACATGGTGGTGGGAATTAGCATAAAGTCTTGTGAAGGACTCTGGGCAAGAAATTGCAAATATTGTTCGTAGCGATCGTTGGTGTGCATATGTATTACATGAAGCACTGAATTTGTTTCCCCCTGGAGAGGACAGTACTTGACTCCTCCGCCTCGTGCTGCAGCGTTGCACGTCCCATTTTGCCACTCTGTCGTCTTCCTCTTGGCAGCCATCAAGCTCTTAGAAAACCTTTCTTTTTAAAATACAAAATGCCCCAAAATATACGGTATTCGTCGCTTCTGCATACATTGCTAAACAAAAGAATGAGAAAAAACCCCTTTAGTGCGAGACATTCCTAAACTCGAAGCACGTAATCCAGACAGTAAACGTCTGTCAGGTCTACCTCCCAAATGTAGAGCGGATACTTGTGATTTTTTCACCGGAAAGAACAAGTCTGGGATATGTCTCGTTATCGGTATTGATGGAATTAAAGAGTCTTGTTAAATGTTGGCAGTGTATGCAATGATTAATTTGAGAAATCGCACGAAGATTCACATTTGGAGGGGGGGGAGGATGTGTGTGTGATCTTACTGCTTGCCAAGCACTTATTCCTAAACCAAAACAAAGATAATAATAAACTTTTCCAGTGTGATCCTTAGTGGATTAATAGCACAACTAGAATATTTATTTTTACTAAAAAATTAGAATTCAGCGAGATACTCTGTCCTTAGCAAATGGATTAGCAAATGGATTTAGAATTGTTACTTTATTGTACACTGCTAGATACTTCCTTGACAGGAAGCATTATTAGGTTCTGTAAAACAAATAAATATAGTTAGATGTGTAATTTTTATCCATTCTAGTTTTTTATACCATACTGGATGTGCAGTATGAAAATTAGTGCATTTTTCATGTTGCTTTGGATTAATCATCATACCCATATGCAAACTAACATTGCGTTGATTCACAATCACACACACTGGAAGAAGTAAGTAAAACCCAGGTCCTAGAACATAAATTACTGTCATATAATACCTAGTGGATAACGAATATTTGTTTTTTGGATTTTTCTTCTTTCTGATAGAATGTTTATATATGTATGGATAATGTGTGGTCTGTCTTGTTATGGAACTTGTTGTATGGTTTGTAATTCCTGATGTCAAATGTAAGACTCCAGGATAGTCTGTCTGTTGTCATTCTGGTCTCCATCCACAGTACTGTCCACCAAAGGAGGGAAAAGAAAATTGAGGAATGTAGGGGATAAATAATATTCTATCTGTACATATGATCCTGAAATGTATATGAAATGAGGCAAACTGGAATTGTCTGATGACTATTGGATGGAAGTAGATAACAAAAACAAAAACTAACTTATTGTCTTTTCCATGGTAGGAAGGAAGTCAAAAATTAAAGGACTGTCTAATTTATAAGATGCTAATATCAGTAGAAAGATCGGGAGCTTCCTTAGAAGAGCAAAACTTAAGCGTATGGGTCTTGTGAGGTCCACCCCGTTATCAGATTCTATATTCCTGTATAAAATCGTGTTATCGTTCATTCAGTTTTTGTAAATCCTTTGTATTATTTCAGAGAATATATAACTTGTAACCTTGTGGGCTTTGAGGCTCTTCAATATTCTTTTAGTAAATATCCTATTGATCCCTATAGTTGTGAGTGCCAATAAAATATCCTGTACTTTATTGCATCTATTGCCAAACTCTTTAGTTCTTTACTAAATAGTAAGACAGAAGTAGATGCTGAGTTAGATTCATCTTCCTGAGCATTCTCAGGACGTACAGCCTCTTCTGTGCTTTCTTCGCAAGCATGTTAACATTCATAGTCCATGAGAGGTCCTTCGAGACACAAATGCCCAGAAATTTAAAACTACTAACCCTCTCCACCTTCTCACCATTTATGTACAATGGGTAAATATACATTTCTCTTCCTCCTGAAGTCAGGATTAAGTTAAGGTTAAAAAACATTTACTAAATCATGATGTACTGCAGTAACTAAGATACCAAATTTCCTCTTACATCAACTACTACAATCAGATGGGTTAGTGATTAATATCATTGCTTTGCTTACTATATATTAATAAAATCATTTGCATATGAATTATGACTACAGAAAATGTTACAGAGATGCATATTAAACTATCTCTTTAAACTTTCAGGCAAGACATCTTTATATTTGTGATTTCCACAAAAACTTAATTCAGAGTGTCAGAAACAGAAGAAAGAGAAAAGGCAGTGACGATGATGGTGATTCACCAGTGCAAGACATCGACACTCCAGAGGTAGATTCATATTTTTTCTGAGAATTAGTCTCTGCATAATTCATATGTGATATGAAAGCAATACTTTGTTCAAACACTTGGTGGCTTAGTATTTGTTGCATCTCATTTAGTGCTAAATATTCGTTTTTTATTAGATTTATATCCATTCCAATTTTTGCTTTATTCTGATTCCAGACAGTCTATGTCAAATAACTCCAACCTGTAAGGTTTACTTCTAAGAATAAATGATTTTAGGTAAGAAATGTCACTAAAACATTAATTATGACTTTGAAATGTATAGAGCTATATTTCAATAACATCTGGAACATCATTTATCCATCTCAGTTTATATGATAAAGAATGGTGATTATTTTAGGTTTTGGTCAGCATATGTTTTGTTGTACTTTAAACTCATTACTAGAATGAGAGAGTTAACTTTACATGGGACTCCCCTTGAAGAGCACTCAGAGGCTCCAACTGGTCCAGAATGCGGCCGTGCGGGTGGTTATGAGCGCAACCCGTTATGCCCATGTGAGCTCCCTCCTGCGTGCAGCTGCACTGGCTCCCGGTGGTCTTCCGGGTGCGATTCAAGGTGTTGGTTACCACCTTTAAAGCGCTCCATGGCATAGGACCCGGGTACCTCCGAGAAGTCTTCTGCCACCAATAGCCTCCCACCGACCAGTTCGTTCCCACAGAGAGGGTCTCCTCAGGGTGCCATCAGCCAAATTATGTCGGCTGGGGACGCCCAGGGGGAGGGCCTTCTCTGTGGGAGCCCCAGCCCTGTGGAACGAACTGCCCCCAGAAATTCATAAGATCTCCGACCTCCGGGTGTTTCGCTGCGCATTGAAGACCCTGTTGTTCCGCCAGGCCGGACTATCAACACAATAGTTTTAAATTGGGGTATTTAAATTTATTGGGGTTTTAAATTTGAGCCACTTATTTAATTATTTTAAATTTTGTATTATTGTTTTGTCTGTGTTTTTAAATAGGCTGTACACCGCCCTGAGTCCTTCGGGAGAAGGGCGGTATAGAAATAAAATTATTATTATTATTATTATTATTATTATTATTATTATTATTATCTTTACCACGTGAAACTCATTATTTTTTAGCCTACTCTAATAGTAGCTTTGTGGGTTTGTGGCACTACCCTCCAGTGTCCCTAACTTGAGATATTTTAAAACAGTTTCTGGAGATTGAAATTGAGACCTTTCATTGGTGTAAAACATATACCATCCTTAACCAAAGAGTTCCAGTGGACCATCCTGCTATAGATTACAAAACGAAGACAACATTGTTCAAAATTTCACACAATATGTGCAAGATAAAACAGGTTGACAATTAACTGTCAGGTTAAAGAACCATGTTTCTTCCTTTTTAGGTTGATCTGTTTCAGCTGCAAGTAAACACACTAAGAAGATACAAAAGGCACTTCAAATTACAGACCAGACCCGGACTTAATAAAGCACAACTTGTTGAAGTAAGTGGAACTATTTTTTCTTTTGAGTACAAAAAATTAAATGTGCCATAATACATAGTTTTTCTGAATTGTACTGTAGATTTTAAATGTTTTAATTCTGAGGGCTTCTTTTGGTCCCAATGATTGCTTTTATCTCCCTCCAAGTTCTATTTCTGCAAATCTTTGCTATTCCTTCATGTTGAGGTCTATATAGTTTTCAAACAAGATTAGGGAAAACATCTGATCACTTAATAAGTTTACTTGGCCAGGTTTGGGTGGAAGAAGAGTCTATTGCTTTGACTTATGTTGGATATGAATAAAATACTATGTAGATTATTAAGAATTTGCAGAGGTAAATTCTAAGTTGAAAACATGATGTCTTCATTTACTGGTATAACTGCAAAAATGAAAAGCATGGAAGCAAGCAATTATAACTTTTCAGAAATAAACATGGCTAGAATCTGAAGTGGATTTAACTCCTAGAAAAACAACTTGAGGACATGGTAGAAAACTCATTGATAAATGTTGGCTTATAATGTTACAACAATGAAAAAGTAGAACAGTAGAAACAATGGAAAAGCAATCTAGGCCTGGAAATTATCAGAAAAGATATTTGGCAAAAAAAAAACCTGCAGGTATTGTTCACCTACATTTGGAGAGTATTGAATTAGCTATCCATTTTCAGATGTCTTAAAACTGAATTAAGGAGAAATGAAACAGAATTGATCTGGCTTGCTTATGTGTATATTGCCAATTTGTTTGGGTTTTTAAAATATTTTTATGCTTTTATCTACCTAGATCATAATGGAGAGATGGGTAGCTATGTAAAATGAATGAATGAATACATATAGAGAATTGGAAGAAATAGAGTTATTAAAATATTTTAATAGGCTAAGTATAAGTATTAGAATAGGCTATATCACCAAATTTATCAAGGGATATTATGAAGGAAACTACTACTTGTTATTGTTGTTATTATTATTAGCATATGGTGGTGTTAGATTAGCCAGGAGACCATAATGCTATTACAGTAAAGTAGTAGTTTGGCTGTCAAGGTACCAGCTCTATTTTAGGAAATGCTCACTCACTTCTCAAGCACACCACAAGAGGGAAAGCTGGCTTCATACCAGAAAAAAGGGCAAGTAGCTCTTCCTGCAGCAGGCCCTCTCCCTCCTAGAACTGCCTCACCAACGGGGCACCGCAACAAGGAAGGTTCAGGGGGTAGGAATCTGACTGCCTGCATGAAGCACCAGCTCATTTCCCCACTGAGTGGTACTCTTTTATCTACTCGCATAGGACGTGCTTTCAAACTGTTAGCGGGTTAGCTGAGGTGAGTGACAGGAGTTTACCCCGACATGCAGTGCTAGAACTCAAACCACTGGGGTGGAGATCATCTCCAATGTCATTAAATCACTGTGTCTCTTAAAGGGAAATGATAAATTATATTCAAACAGCACAGATATAATATGAAACAGTACTTCTGGTTTTCATCAAGAACGGGGTCCACAAGTCCCTGTCCATGAACCAGCACCAGTCCTCAGCATGCCAAAACTGGTCCTTGCAAACATGCGAAGGCCCATCTGCAGGATACAGGCAGCACACGAAACCACACACCCTCTGTTCTGCAGAAAAATCTCTCTCCATAGAACTGGTCCCTGGTGCCCAAAAGGTTGGGGGTTACTGATCAAGAACATTTGATTGAATCAAGCTTACTTTTTGTGTATCTTGAGGATATTTTGAAAATTTAGAAAACTTATCGAGTTCTTCATTCTGTTTAGCAATTCTTGTCTTATAGGCATAAATTAAAATTTTGGCTACCTTATCAAGGTGATGATGCATAATTGTCCCAGTATGGACCCTTGGTATTTCAGTGTATGCTTTTTATAATTTGTGTAAAAGAATAGTACATAATAAAGGCGGGATACAAAAAAATTAATATTAGATCCTTAACTATATCAAACTAAGAAAAGTTTTTTACAAATTAAAAAAGATGGCTTTTATAAGTAGTTGAATTCTCAAGTATTCCAAAATATTATCGAGAAATGAGTCCATATTTGGTAATGTATTAAACTTATTTTTACAGATTACTTTGATAAATTAGTCTTTAATATATTGCACCATTTCATTTAAGATACATGATGGTGTAATCGGTATATTAGTTTTTTATTATTCCTTAATCAAAGCATGATAATTATGTTATTATTTTAAAGTACTTTTCAAGAAGACTGGTATCTTAATGCTTCCATTCTTGCATGAATTCCTTAACATTTTAATAAATTATTATTACTTGGCTTACTTCTGAGACCCTTGTCCAATATTTTTTTTCCAATATATAGACAAACACTTTTTTTTTCCTCTCTAGATAATTGGATGTCATTTTCGGACTATTCCAGTGAATGAAAAGGATACCTTAACCTATTTCATCTATTCAGTGAAGAATGACAAGAACAAATCTGATCTAAAAATGGATAGCAGTGTTCACTAAATAAACAAACTTAAGACTTACAGACCTAAAGACTGGTTTGGATGTGCTGAGCTTTTTTTGTATTAGTATTCAGAGTATTCTGATGTTATTTTTCTTGGGAAAATACTATTCTCATAAATTAGGTTTCCATGATGAACGTATTTTAAATAAATACTGTTGATGTCCCTGTGCCTACAGCGGAATAATATCTGACATTTGTGTAAGCTTTAATATTAAAGCTCCATTTCATTTATGGAAATCAGAATTATGTCCAAAGAATATTTTAAGGCCTTTATGCATCAGAGCTCTTATATTTTCTCAGGTATATTTTTTTAAATCCTTAATACTTTCTAAGCAAAATTTAAAGATTATGTAAGGCCACACACTTTACACTTCTAGAGATTTGTCGTTTGACTAAATTAGTACCTGTTTGTGTAAAAGCCTGGGAAACGTTGATTTGCAAACTGTTTTATGCTAAGTAGCTTTGTATGATGTCTGAATTCATTGATCGTTGCATCTGCATTGCAGTTGCAGAGGATTATCACCTTGGAAAGGAAAAACTTTGAACTAAACACTAGAACTACTTTTGTTTTTCAAAACACACTTCATCCATTTTAATGTTGTTCATGCTTTTTAAATGCATACAGATTTTATAATGAAAGTGGTTGAGCAAGGATAAGTATATTTAGCTATAACATTTCTTGATGTCTTTGTATGATTTTGAATAGTTGATCTCAGATCTGAGTAACCTCAGATGCCCTTGTTTGCACCATTTGTCCTTTACGTTGTATGATAAAAGTAATGATAAAGACAGTCCTTGTTTTTTCATCTTAAATTTCTTTTATTGTCTGTAAAGTCTGTATGCATTTAAAAGGGAGGTAGACTTGTTTGAAAACTCCAAGCATGATTTGCCCTCTGTGCCATGCCTATTCTAAATCATGATTTAGATGACATTATTGAGACTTAAGGCTTATTTGTGGCATTAAGGAACCAACATTTCTTTTTTATTTTAAATAAGCTCATTATTAGGGTATGTAGCATTCCCGATAGAAAGCAAAAAAGGTGTTTTTGAGATGCATGATAATGCATTCTGAATCTGAGCCTGGATATGATGCTGCATTTGTTTTCTGGCCTTGCCCAGTGTCTGTAAAGATTCAGAAAAAGAATAGTTTTTAACTAAGGAGGAACTGGCATTGTTAAGCATCGCATTATATCTCAAGACATACATATTTTCTTGAAATCATGTGGCTGCTATGCAGCGTTTTTGAGGAAGTACCAAGAAGCATAATCATGCTTGGTATTTCTTCGAACATGTCAGCACCTTTACTTTTCACATAATGTGCTGGAAGTCTCTACTTACCTATTATATTACAATCTACAATAACAAACCATTTGATTTTGTGGTCAGAAACTAAACTATAATTTTATTGGGAATGTCTTGAATTGCTGTCCTAACTGCTACACCTTGTATAACTGATTTATTTTCTTCAGTAGCATACAAAGAAATAGAGTCCTCGACGTTTGACCACAATTGAGCCCAAAATTTCTGTGCTAAGCAAAGAATAGACAATCAGAAATAAACAAGTGATTGCCGCAACAGTTTGCCAGTTGGCTTCCACATTGCCAAACATTGCAGGGCAATATATTTCAGGAATGTTCATCAGAGCTGTGACAAGATGTGTGTTTTGGGAATTAATTGCAGATATTTGCTTTATGACATGCATGTTGTAAGGCCACTCAACTCACATGATGTTATCTGGGCTGAAAACGAAAAACAAAAGCAAAATACATTATTTTTTTTTAAATCCAAATAAATAAAATATAAATGTTATATGGCAAAGAAATAAAATAATTAAACAAAGTCTACTTGACCCAAATGTTGGTAAAGAGTCAGGATATAGCAGAAGTACAGCTTGATAGACCATGGCCAGATGTGAAAAATACTTTGTTCACCCAATGATGCCCTATCAGATCTTCCTGCTAAGTTTAAATCTCTATTCCTCACAATCCCGTCTACCGTGTTTCCCCAAAAATAGGATCTACCCCGAAAATAAGCCCTAGTCTGGGGTTTTTTAACTATGTGCCTAATATAAGCCCTACCCCAAAAATAAGCCCCAGTGAAGGAGTGGGCATGGCCAGCACAGGAGTTGATTCCCTGTCCAAGGAGCAGACGGAGGCAGAAGCACAGGTGGGGGGAGGCAGGCAATCCGGATGCGCCGTGTGAGCCATATGAAAGCCAATAGTCAGGCCAGAGGCTCTGTGCAGCGGCACCACTGCAGATGGAGGCAGAGGCACGGGGGGAAGGCAGGTGATCTGGAAGCACCACACGGGCTGTGGGAAAGCCAAGAGTCAGTGGGCCGGTGTCTCTTGGCTTGCCTGCAGTCAACACAGCATGTTGGGATTGCCTGCCTTTCACCCCATGCCTCGCCTCCATCTGCTGCCACGTGAAGACAAGCCTCCTGCAGCCAACGGCCTGCTTGGCCCATTGATTTGGCTTTCCCGCAGTCCGTGCAGCGCACCCAAATTGCCTCTCCCCACCCCCCCCTCACCTCTGCCTTTCTGCTGCCTGAACAGGGAATCGCCTCATCTGCTCTGCACAGGCTGCACAGCCCCAGAGTCTGCCAAGTAAGAGATTGGGTTGTTGCTGCTGCCAGATACCGTCGGTTCCCATGCACTTGCCATCTTGTGTGCGCGCCGAGGGGGGGGACACACCCAGCCATGCTGATCACCCTGAAATTGTGTTTCAAAATAAAAATAAACCCCATTGCTTCTTTTGGAGCCACCAAAAAATATAGGACTGGGTCTTATTTTTAGGGAAACATGGTATCTCACTGCACATTGTCTCCCAGTCTTGAATTGCTTTACCTTTAGCTCTTCCAACGTATGTAGTAAGATGGAGCCAGTGAGTGAGGAGTGCTGAGGAATTATATTTGTATTATTATAATATCACGTTTGACAAGTTAACAGATTAATATTGAAACTGTAATATTAAACAAGAATTTATTTTTAGGCCATACAGTCCTATTCATGTTTATGTCCCTTTGTTCAATACAGTTTGTTCTCAATATACTACATTTTTAACCTGAAATTCAATATTTATAATTATAATTTATTTCCACTAATTCCACTTAGGTATTAAAATTGATACTGATGTTTTTACAGGATTCTCTGTATATTCTTAGGAGTAAACACTTTTTTTTTTTTTTTAATTTGATTTATATGCCGCCCTTCTCCGGAGACTCAGGGCGGCTTACAATGTGTTAAGCAATAGCCTTCATACTTTTGTATATTTATACAAAGTCAGCTTATTGCCCCCACAAACTGGGTCCTCATTTAACCTACCTTAGAAAGGATGGAAGGCTGAGTCAACCTTGAGCCTGGTAAGATTCGAACCTGCAGAAATTGCAGGCAGCTGTGTTAATAACAGGGTGCATTAAACCACTGTACTACCAAGGCTCTTGAAACAAATGGTGCAAAAGCTAAGAGATTGGATTATACAAAACTTGAGTAATATGTTTAATTATTGAATTTAGAACCTGGGGACCTCATGATGGGTCACCCCCTCATTTCTTCAACAGTCATATAAAAATTTGCTAAAGAGTTACTGATCTTCAAACTCAACTTAAACCTTGAATCCAAATTTCACAGATCCTGGTTCCATGTTACGACAACCACACTTTATTAAACCATGTCTTTAGCTTTGGCATAATTTCTTTATATTAAATTATTCTGCAGTGTTGCTATTTGGTATAATCTGCCTTAGTTAAGCATCAGTGGGATATGTAAAACATACGCAGACATCCATAGGAAACTTTCTGTTTACTCTCAGAATGATCCTAGACAAAAAATAGAACAATACTATAAAAATACTTACTTAGCAGGGGACAGTGGACTTTATTTACATTTTTATAAATGTAAAAATATAAAAAGCAATAAAAGACGCTTTCAGCCTGGTACCATGTAAATTAGGAGGGCCCACAACTATGGGTTTGTTTTGTTTTAAATTCCTGGCTTGATCACATTTGGAAGAGCCAGCCTAAGGAAAGCTAATTCTGGCAGTGGATCCTACTGAACCCAGTGGTACTTATTTTACATAAGCATGCATATGATTTCCCCAACAGCATGTTTTTAACAAGACAGCTGTATATAGTAGCCTTCCTACTCCATGCTAAAAAGCTAAGCAGACTGCATATTATATTCCTACTTGACCTAAAAATAAATTCAATAAAAACATTTTAGCAGCTAAAAAGATACAGTGATCAAAAGCTGCTTTGCATGAATGTCTTCACCTGTCAAACTACTGTTAGAATTTGTCAGATTAGCAGTTTTATAAGAAGGAAGGTTTTTTGATGGCAATAATTTTTGAAATCCTGTTGAACAGAGAAATAATCTTGAAATATCAAGGATTCTAAGATGTTTCGTGAGGGCATTCCAAAGATAAGAATTAAGGATTGTTGTTGCAGGCTTCCTTCAGAGCTTTCCTATATACACGTAGAAATAGTGTATTCTTGCTTTCTGTTTCATGAATGTTCATTAGACCTACTGTTGAACATTTCAGATGAACTCAACTATACTGATGGACTAATGTCTAAACCTAGTCTATCGGTGCTAGAACTAAGAACTTTTATTTTGAAAAAGGACTTCATCAAGCTTTTAAAAATACTTAAGATACTTTATTTTTTCTCCTTATAAAGCTATTTTTCTCCAGAGTAAAGAAACATATTCAATTGTTCACACTGAAACATGTTAAGATTCCTTTTGTTCCTCCAATCATGATGAGTGCTAATACAGTATGAATGATCAGTTCTGACTTTGATACGAGATTTGAGTATGAATCTACAGTATATCTATTCAAAACAAACAGAATTCCACAGAGCCCAACTTAAGATGTATAGGATGGGAATGTAAAACAATCAAATGTGTTGAATTGTTATAGTATTCAATATATGCAGTAATTTGACTGCTACTGAGATTTTCATTAGTTTATGTTGCAATTAGCTTAACATAGTGAATCAATTAAGATATGGCAGATCTTGTTCTTAACCTCTCCACTTCTTCCTAAAATAGAGCAAAACAGAATCAACATTTGAATTAAATTATTAGATGCAATAATACTAAAGTGTTTTCAAAACAATATTGCAAGCTGCATTATATTTAAATGAATTATAAAGTTCATTTAATTATATTTAGAAATGTAAATATAATGCTTTGATTCATGTTTTATACTTTATCCCTTTATTTAAATTCCAAGCAGTTATTGAAATGTTATCATTTCAGGATAGAAACTTGATGCTTGTAAGCACTTCAGGGTTTAACCAAAATTCTTTTGTTCTGATCTTTAAGTGGAAATTAATGAAAAGCAACAACAACAACATGGTACTTGCAAATGGAGATTGTGATGTGCTCAGAAGAGCAAAATGTCTTCAAAATGAGAAACATTCATAGACATCCGATAGATTGAAGGGGATTTCTTTTAGTTAACCTGGAACCAAGCCAAATAGGACTTTATTATTCAAAAGCAGCACTACTAGTAATGAAATAGTCATTTTGAATAGGAATATCACCTACTAACATCTTGGCTGCTACATTTTGTCCCAAAGATAGCTTAAAATCTTTTTCAGAGTCAGGCTTATTTTATTTTATTTTTTTATTTATTTGTTTAAATTTCTATACCGCCCTTCTCCAATGTAGGACTCAGGGCGGTGAACAGCCAAAGTAAAAACAAGACATACATACAAACATACAAAATCTAAAAACTGTTTAAAATAATTAAATAATTTTGGCCGTAATTAAAACATTCCAATTTAAAATCCATTTAAAATTTGACTCAAGCCAGCCCAGCTAGTTGGAATAAATGGGTTTTCAGGGCCCGACGAAAAATCCGGAGGTCTGTTATTGTACGTAGCTCTGGGGGGAGGTTGTTCCAGAGGGCGGGCGCCGCCACAGAGAAGGCTCTCCCCCTGGGGGTCGCCAGCCGACATTGTCTGGCGGACGGCACCCTGAGGAGGCCCGCTCTGTGGGAGCGTACTGGCCGGTGGGAGGCTATTGGTGGCAGAAGGCGGTCTCGTAAGTACCCCGGCCCTAAGCCATGGAGCGCTTTAAAGGTGGTCACCAACACCTTGAAGCGCACCCGGAAGATCACCGGGAGCCAGTGCAGCTCGCGCAGGAGAGGTGTCACGTGGGAGCGCCTCGTCGCCCCCCAAAATCCCCCGCGCGGCCGCATTCTGGACCAGCTGGAGCCTCCGGGTGCACCCCAGGGGGAGCCCCATGTAGAGAGCATTGCAGTAGTCCAGGCGGGAAGTGACGAGTGCCTGAGTGACTGTGCGTAGGGAGTCCCGATCTAGAAAGGGGCGCAACTGGCGTATCAGGCGAACCTGATAAAAAGCCCCCCTGGCCACGGCCGCCAAATGATCTTCTAACGACAGCCGTGCGTCCAGGAGAACGCCCAAGTTACGAGCCCTCTCCGTGGGGGCGAGTGATTCGCCTCCAATAGCCAGCGATGGCGTCAGCTGGCTATATCGGGACGCCGGAAGCCACAGCCACTCGGTCTTGGAGGGGTTGAGTTGGAGCCTGTTTCTCCCCATCCAGGCCCGCACGGCCTCCAGGCACTGGGACATCACTTTAAGGGCATCATTGGGGTGGCCTGGGGTGGAGATGTACAACTGGGTGTCATCAGCGTACTGATGGAACTCCACCCCGAAGCCACGGATGATCTCACCCAGCGGCTTTACATAAATGTTGAACAGAAGGGGCGAGAGGACCGACCCTTGTGGCACCCCACAAGCAAGGTGCCTCGGGGTCGACCGCTGCCCCCCTGTCAACACAGATTGCGACCGGTCAGAGAGGTAGGAGGAGAACCACCGCAAAACGGTGCCTCCCACCCCCAACCCCGCCAACCGGTGCAACATGATACCATGGTCGATGGTATCAAAAGCCGCTGAGAGGTCTAACAGGACCAGGATAGAGGAGCAACCCCTATCCCGGGCCCTCCAGAGATCATCCACCAATGCGACCAATGCCGTTTCCGTGCTGTGCCCAGGCCGGAAGCCGGACTGGAGCGGGTCTAGATAGACAGCTTCATCCAGGTACCAGGGAAGCTGTTGCGCCACCACACTCTCAACAACCTTCGCAATGAAGCGAAGGTTGGAGACTGGACGATAGTTAGCCAAAACAGCCGGATCCAGAGAAGGCTTCTTGAGGAGGGGCCTCACCACCGCTTCTTTCAAAGCGGCCGGCAGGACCCCCTCACTCAAAGAAGCGTTAACAATCTTCTGGAGCCAGCCTCGTGTCACCTCCCGGGAAGCCAGTACCAACCAGGAGGGACACGGGTCCAATAAACATGTGGTCGCGTTCAGCCGTCCCAGGACCCTGTCCATGTCCTCGGGAGCCACAGGATCAAAGTCCCCCCAGATAACACTCTCAAGACCTGCCTCAGTCATCCCGTCTGGACATACCCAGTCAGAGGCCAGCCCTTCCCGAATCTGAGCGATTTTGTCATACAGATACTGCACAAAATCCTCAGCTCGACCCTGCAAGGGGTCATCCCGCACTTCCAGATGGAGGAGGGAGCGGGTCACCCTAAACAGGGCGGCCGGGCGATTATCTGATGACGCGATAAGAGCGGCAAAATAGCTAGTTTTCGCCGCTTTTATCGCCACTAGGTAGGTCTTAATATGAGACCTCACCAGTGTTCGGTCAGGTTCGGAGCGGCTGGTCCTCCAACTACTCTCCAGGCGTCTTTTCCGGCGCTTCATCTCCCTAAGCTCCGCGGAGAACCAAGGAGCTAGGTGAGTTCGGTGCCGGGTCAGAGGCCGCAAAGGCACGACTCGGTCCAAGGCCCCGGCAGCCGCACTATCCCAGGCGGCCACCAGGTCTTCAGCCGAGTCATGAGCCAGAATCTCAGGAAATGGCCCAAGCTCCATCTGGAACCTATCAGGGTCCATCAGGCGCCTGGGGCGGAACCACCTGGTCGGTCCCGCCTCCCTGCGGCAGGGTGCAGCGGTTAGAAAGTCCA